TCAAGTCGTCAACAGTTTTGGAAACCAGTTGATGGATATTTTGTGCCACAATTACTCGGGTGGGCATGACGTGTGCAAGATGCTCGCGTTGTCCTGCCTTAATAAAATCTTAGAACTGGATTGCGATAATGCGTAGATGATTTATTTAGCGAGCAGAGGCTACTTGAAGCATATGAACAAATAGTTTATTGGAATCGGACGGTTTGTTGCGATGCATATTGCAATCAGAACCGCAGGACATTGCGTCCTTTGTACTTGTACGAGGCAATAATGGCGATCTTCTGTAGGATGGCGTCTACAAGATTAGGCGCAGAGAGTCTGCTGAAAAACAAAATCTTGTCCTGCTCCAGTATATGGATTCGATCAACATCCTAATACACACAGTTTTCGAAGGCGACACTCATTCATACCGTTAGTCGGACAATGCTATCAGCAAATTTTTTTGTTAGCTTTATATCTCTGCTTTGTTCACCATGCTAGGAGAATCAATCGTGCGCCGTACAAGTCTGTGGATTTTTACAAAGCCGCAGAGACACTGTAGAAATGACTCTAAGAAACACGTTCTCACACGCCAATGTGCTCTTCTTGAAGGAAATTACGTGCCTCACCGGCGTAATATTCAGATCCGCTAATAGGTTTGTATATTATAGAATTAAACAAAAATTATAATATTATAATTACATTCTTATAAATATAATCATTTTTCAGGCATGTACAAACTTATGGACGAAGCATTGGCGAAGATAGACATAGATGATTACAAAATAGAAAGCTGGAATGAAAGAATTACGAGCCTATCTTGTAGAAGTTGATGCTGTCATTGTTGCATAAATTTCAATTACATTCGATCCCGATGAATTATAATTACCAGCAAGCTGATACGAGCCAGTATATATTTCTTGTATACGGATAGTCGCCAGTGTCATGTTGTATACACGCAATCAAGTAAAGTTCACAAGTAATCCACAAATTGTAATCATTATATAGAAATATATAAAGTTCTTGAAATTTTCTATCTATATATATGCATATAGATAAATGTTTTAATTTAACTACGCATTTATCGCGTTATTCCCATAGCCCAATTTTTTATAATTTATTTATTATTTATTAGATAAATATATCTATAAATATATCTATAATAGATATATCTAAATAATAATATAAATAATCTAATATATAATATAAATAATCTAATAATAATATAAGTAATCTAAATATATCTATATACATTGTGATATCTTTATTTTTTCTACAAATCTTTATTTTTTCAGATACAATACAGTTGTATGAATCAGAAAACACGAATTTGATTCTCATTTGAAACCTGGAAGAAGACAAGATAAAATGAAAGATACTTCTGGTGAAATATGTTTAAGTACAATTGTTGAACAATTGGTTTCCGTGACAAATCTACTACATACTGAATTACCACATATTGACTCCCTAATAAAGAAAGCGCAAATGGTAATCGACATGAGTACAGCAGAATTAAAGAAGGTAAATGCTATTTAAATTTTTCAGTTGAATTTATTATTTTTGTATACATATATATTAAAAATTTAATGTGATTATAAAATAATAAAAAATTAAATGTTTGTATTTACATATAGTTTCAATTTTAATTGCATAATTGTTTATTTTGTATGCTCAATTTATCGTTAATCGTCGTTTTATTGTACCAAATACGATTAGTATTTATTATGCTAAAGATAAAAAATATAAGAAAGTCAAAGAAATTAAATTTATTAAATTTATTTAATTTCTTATGAAATCCCATATGTACAATGTCGATTTTGATATATTTATGTTAAATCAAGTAAACTATTTCTAATTTTAAGTTATTTTCTTTTGCATCTTTTGCAAAATATGTTAATAGATTTATATTAACATTCTTCCACACGTTTTCTTCTTCTATCTGACACGTGTATTATACAGTAAAACATATTTTTGTAAAATTATTATTTATTATATGACTAACACAAATGATACGTAATGTTACGTAAAGATCGTGATAAATATAAAAGATTGTATTGTAAGGAGTATAAGTATACAATTTTGGATTATATATTTGTTATATATACAAATATACAAATATACAAATTTATAATACATATAGAAATCTAATTCTATTCTTTTTAAGAAGTAATTACTGCTTCATCCCAAGAATCATAAATATTATCCTTATACTTTTGGCATTTGATATACCAAAGTGGACAGACAAAGTGAATGAATATTATAGCTATAATAAAAATATAGGAGAATATTATAGCTATAATAAAAACATAGGAGGTTTGTGAAATAAATACAAGTAAATATATGGTATCAATAGTCAGAATGGCAGATATAATTTTATTATTTATTTTCAACAGCAAATAAGTAACAATAGAATAATGTAACAATACAAAACATTGAACTGAAACTGTTAAAAGCGAAAAGGCATGTAATGGGAATGTTAATTTGGAAGCTAACATTAGCGAACCAAAAGTTGAGGAAATTATGGATAGAATCTGATAGGAAGATGTGTGGCGATCCATATTTGCTAAAAATACCAGATGAGTTAGGAACATTGATATTGTTATGGCATAAATGTTTGTATCAGCTCCACTAATCGTTTCTGTCAAAGTCTTTAAAATAGGCGACAATATGTAACTAAACATGAGAAATATTAATACTATTCGTAAAGCCTTTGTTAGTTTCATAGGTCGATCCGATACGTTTTTATTATATGCAAAATACTCAAGAATAGTCAATATACTGCCTGATATCGCAATAATGTTCGGTGTAGTTTATTCGTTGTTCAGCCAAATAAATATTATAATAAAAAGTACAACGCTTAATGTGACGCCCAAATTTAATGCTTCTATCAATGTCACATTGTTTTATATTTTTACGCAGTTGCTCCAAGAAGGAACTATTCGTATAACTGCCCGGCAATCCGTAGTTCTCGTATATATTTTTCTGCCACTTATTTCTGTTATTTTTTTTTTTTTGTATTTTTTTCATACTGAATCACTCATTATAAAGCTTCACACTTCATCTCATGCTGACTGGGACGTGGAACATGCCATTTTAAGATCTGAGAGTTTTCGTTTCTGTAAAATTTCAAATAAGTTTCTAAATCACCTATTCATCTAAGATTCATAGTATTCTTTCATTAACTTGAAAATGACAATTATGTGCGAAATATCTGCTTACTGATCTTCGCATGAGAAACCGAGATATTAATTTTTGGTGCTAGAAATATATCATTAATATAAATTATATATATATATATATATATATATATATATATGATATTATTTATTATTAATTATACAGAAAAAGCGCTTATATTATTTTGAATATATTTTTATCCAAATTTAAAGCGAAACAGTCCAAGTTTTTTTGGCAGGTGATCCACACATTCCGAGTGCATAATTATTTTAAAAATTATTTTCCTATTATATTTTTCTTTTTCTATTTAGTTTGAATATTAAACCCTTTTTATCATTAAAAAATTTTATTACATTTACAAAATTAATAAAATATTGAAAAATCATAATCAGTTAAAAAAAATTCTATTAAAATTTTAAGAATTTCTAGAATTTTAAGTTTGAAGGATTAGATCGTGAAAATATTAAATGACATTTGACAACTTTGCATTTGAAACATTTATGAATATATATAAATTTTTTTTTAATATTTTTTCTTGTCGTATAAAATTATAAAGCTGCCTTTCCATGCCGACACTCGACGCTCATTTTTAGCATCAAACTAGATTATGTGATCAAAATTAACACAGAATAGTGAAATCTGTGGATGTCGTCTCAATAGGCACGGAAAACGGAATTGAAATCGAAAGATTCGGAAAGATGAAATGGTGGAGACAGCCAATCAGCATTTGCGTTTAACGTTCCGAAAATTTCATAGCTTTCCATTCTGAAAAATTCATAACGCAAATATCTAATGATCAAGATTAAAAGATTAGGATTATTAATGAGACGGTATTATATGGGTTATATGATTTTTTTTTTATACTGAAAGCTTTCAGCAGATGTCTTCTTCGGCCTTTGCCGATGCTTCGGTCTTAATCTTAACCTTAAAAGATGGAAATGAAGAATGCTATAAGGTGCTTTAAACAACTTTATGGCATTTTTCATTTCCAACTTTTAATCCCGGTCTACAATAAGTGTAATAAGCCTTAAGCCATAAAAACTGGATGAATCATAGTCGAAGAATAGGAGAATAATCGACTATGATTGGTCAATTTCTTATGGCTTAAGGCTTAAATCACCTATTGTAAACCGGGACTAAATCGGATTAACGTTGCTTAACGTTGCGTATAAACGTAGTCTGTGTCTTCTTGGAAAATTCTTTATATCATATGATCAAGACCGCAGTCTGATTCGCGCTCAAAGCACTATTGGCGTCATTCTATTCTTGTTTTACATCTAATAAACAATAAAGATAGAATGACGTAAAAAGCACTTTGAGCATGAATCAGACCACGGCTCAAAAGTGAGCATATACTACATATACATTCAAATTTCATTATTCGTCAACTTTGATCACGTGATTTATTTTATTGCTAAAAACGAACAATGCGTGACACATGAAATGACTACCTTAAGATTCTTTAACATAATTGGTTTTTGCCTTTAGTTCCTCATTTAAATATATAAATCAATCGTATTAAATAATCTTGGAAAAAGAACTTCTTTTATTTTACGGAACGGAAGATTTTTAAGATAAAAACGAACTCGGATCGAACTCGGATTATTGAATATCTCATGTTTGCTTCCTGCGCATTTCGATTGTTGCGCGTCAGCCTTTCGTGACTGACGTTAGCCGCAAGTTACGGCATGGCCGCCATGGCAGCTGATGCCCCGTGTTGCAGCACTTGACGTTTAATCGGAACATGTCATTTTGCAGATTTCATTTTCACAAATGGCAGACACGTTTTTCGGTTTCGATACCACGCTCGGAGTAAGTATGGTAATGGATCGCCCGACCGCGCACAGCTCGCGTCCGGCTCGTGCGAGTTCGAACTGGTAACGCACGAGCGTGAATCTTCTTCCTGATAAACAGGCCGCGTCGCGGCACGTCTCTGTCTGGAAGAACAAAAGTTTGGACCTGTTTGGGCCTACTATCTGCGCGACGCTCGGTAGCCTTGAATATGAACGGTGCATCTCGCGAGCTTGTCTTTAACCACATTTTGTCAGAGTATTCGTCCCTTTGAGGATAAAATTTCTCGAGCGGCCGCAGGTTTACATTGTCGTCGTCTAACCTCATTCCTATTTTCCTCGCCCTAAAGGTCATTAACATCGAACGTCGCAAATCCCGATCGAGCTTCTTGACGAATTTGCGCGTGCCGTCGTAGAGTTTCATCGACTTAAATCTGGTGTTGCTTTGGACCGTCGCTACAAAAAACGGCTATGACTTTTGTAATAACTCGTAACAGTTTTTTTCTTTTTCTTTTTTTTTTCTTCAAGAATCCTTACCATAATTTTTTATCTGCTTTATATTGAAAACAAACATAACATTGCTATATTATTGTTTTCTCGAAATAATTAGGAGAACAATCTGGGAGAGGATGGACTGGATTGTCCATTGGAAGAGGATCTTGAAGAAGAAGAATATGATGCACTGAATGATGAAACATTTGGTCCTGATGCTAACATTGGTGATTGGGAAGAAGATCATGAGAAACTTGCCGAAATTACAGAATCAAATCGCCTTCATAATCAGAGTGCAACAAGTAAAAAGGTATGTTATTTAAAGTATTTCCGTTAATTATTTTCTATAACATTTTGAAATAAATCTTGGAGAATATGAAAATTACAAAAATAAGCAATGATCACAAATCAGATTTATTTTGATATTCACAAGTTAATAGATAAATACAATTAAAAGTGACTTGAATGTCATAAGAATCTTAAAAAAATATCAGCTCTTTTACCATTATTGCCATTTTACTACTATCATTATTATAAGATGACATTTTAACATGTTATTTTAACATTTTAACATGTTATTTCCTATATTTATAGCTATATTTATTATTTTATAATTTATAGTTTATAGAAACATGTTAAAAAACAATTAACATTTTATATATTCATATTTATTGTAATATATACTTAATTTTTACTTTATTTTTTGTAATATATACTTGTAATATATACTTAATATTTTTTCTAGAATATTTCTAACATAGATATTGAGGATAATTTATCACATCTGGTATTGGATAAGGAAGGGATAGTACCACGACCTGGTGTATGGGGTAGTCCTTTAAATTTATCTCCTCCAAAAGCTCAACCACGATTATCCTTACCAAATGCTTGTACAGTGGAAGAGTTGGAAAGAGGACTTGTTGCAAATAGGCCACCTCCCGGTCTCAGCAAACCACAAACGCAACAACAAAAAAAATGTGATAGAGATGTCTCAAATTTTTTTGAAACTATTTCATTGGAGAAACTTCATGTCAATGGCCTACCTCCTCCGCGTTTTCCACCAGGCTTTGGTTTGCCTGGAGGACATCCCATCGTTTTGTCCAACATAAGAACACCACCTCCACAATTAATGCAACATCCTAGATTATTAGGTTTAATAAGTAAGCACATTAAATATTTTATTAATTAAAATATTGTATGCAAATTTTTATTTTATATATCTGCGAAATATGAATTAATAAAGGTTTAGCAAATATGTATGAATTTCTTAAAAATTTCTAATATTTAAACATTTTTATTTGAATTAAATTATTTTAAAATATTTTAAGATTAAAATTATTTATTTTGTAACTTTATTTATATATCTAATTTTGTTTGCTTAATAAAATATATTTGGCCGTGATTAAAGACTGAAATAAATTTTAAAAAATTTAGTTATTTCATACTGAAATATTTCTTGATATTGATTACCTTTCTATTGATTAGATCAACCAGGTAATGTATTACGTTATCCTCCACCGCCACATTTAATGCTACAACAACCAGTAACAAGGCAAGCTCTTCATGGCTCCTATGGTTTTCCTCCTGTAAGTTTTATATATTATGCATATATTACTGTAATTTTCACATTATCAATGCATTTTCTTTATATTTTAGCAACTACATCCTAATTTAGGAGGTCCACAGTTCCTTCGGCCAGATCACATGATGCCTGCATTTCCTAATAACCAAACCAATCATCAGCAACATCAACATTCTTATTCACATTTAGGAAATCAGAGAAATCAGAATAGATCTTACTACCATAATGAGCAACAAGCTGGACATCAACCATTTTTTAAAAATAATCAATATCCTCATCGTAACCATGACAGAAATAATCAAAGATCTTATCATCATCAACATTACTCTCACAGCATTAATGGCATTGCTTCGGGAGAATACGAACACTCAGGAAAACTTGCTATAAAAGCTCATGAGAAGCAATGGTTAATTAATATTCAATTATTACAACTTAATACAATTCAACCATATGTTGATGACCATTATTATATCGTCTTCTGTGATAAACGGAATAAACAACATGCGAATCAAGAACAAAAAGATAAGAAACACCATAATAACAATGGATATCACAGAGATCATAGGTATGTTTTTATTTTCAAAATTTGTATACATTTGTATAATACTGGTACTTTATATCTATATATTTTTATTTAAAATGTAACATTAGATGCATAGATACACAGTTTTCATATTTTGATAATGTAATTACAAAATAATATATATTATACATATAATATATATATATATATTATATATATATATATATATATATATATATATTTTGTGCTAAATACACAATATATCCTTTTTCTGTTATAATTTTAGAGTCGAATTTTTAAGAAATTGATTTATTTAACAATTAAAAATCGTATTTATTTATCCTGTATTGTAAGCATATTAGTCTTTATTTGCTTAATTATTAATAATTGTGGAATTTATTTATATATTATTTATTACTATCTTTAATTTTTTTATTCGGCTATTAGAGATTGGGAACCAACACCTCAAGCTGCCTCAAGATCAGCATATACGCCAGCTCAATTTGAAAATTCATTAGGCAAACTTCATTGCAGCAGTGTAACAGCGCCACGTAAACTTATTGATATGGACGTTGTATCAAATAGCGACTCTCAATCTCCTCCTCAAACTCAACAGAAGGACACTAAAAAAACACGACAATTACTTCTTGAAATTGAGAGAGTACTATCAATGTTCTAATATATAATTAATAAAATAATTAATTTAGTAACATTCTTTATCAAAGAAACTTTTTCTTCAGCTGTATACACTGCTATTCAAACTTGAGGATTTGCGTAACCCTCTTGCTGCAATTCCGGAATCGCAACAGCAACAGGAAGGTGAATCTGAAATAAATATGACTAAAACTGAACCGGAATTAATAAACATGACCTTAACGTGTCTACAACAATTAATACAAGACGATAAATTAGCCAGTATGCTAAGTATACGGAAAGGAAAGGTAATTTGATAAGTAAGAAGTGAGAGTTAAAGCTTCCAATTTTTTCAAAAAATATCTCATATTTATATATATTTATATTTATTGTAGACATTATTACTGCGTTTTTTACCTCACCTGAATGTGACAGAATATAATAAGCAGTTAAGAGAATTGTGGACTGCGATATTTAAAGGATTAGCCGTGATAGGCCGTAGAGATTGTCATATATTAACAGACTTTTATTCTGAATTTCGAAGATGGCTTGATGCCGTAAAAAATTTTGATACCATATTGCGATTAGCAAGAGCATTATCCGACTCGGCTACTCATTCTATTAAAAATAATAGTTTAACTTTTGCTCTTATGAATAAGGTTAGTTAAATAATTATATATATATATTTTATATAATAATTATAATAAACATGCTTTAATTTATGCATATAGAAAATATATATGTAAAACGAGATAATGTTTATATTTTTTATTTGTTCTTTCAGTTTGGAGTGTCTGCTATAGCGGCGATGCTTGAGCAAGCTGAACAATTATGCGTCACAGACGATTCCCTGCCTTCTGAATGGTCAACTTTTGTAGTTACAATTGTCGAGATAATTGGTGACTCGTCACCCTGTGTTACACCTTGTCAACCAATTACTGCAAATACGCTCAATAAACATCTGAACCGGATTTCCAGTTTAAAACTAGAAAGGTATACAACGCTAGCGTGCTTGTTGACTGATGCCAATCCTTTACGATAGTCGTAACGTTATATAAGTTACACTCGAATTCTTTTTAAGATTTGTCTTTTTTTTTAAATGCGAAAAATAAATTATGCTAAAAAAGAATGATACATACAGACAAATATTTTAATATAATTACTAATGTTATTGAAACATCCATTGTGTATGATAATATTTCTAAATAGATGCCATTATTTTACAAAGTAGATTAAGTATCTGATGCGGGATATTAAAGAAAAAAATTTATATATGTATATATAAGTAGAAATATTGTGAACATTCTGATGCACAATGAGATTTCTTACTCGTATACATATATAATATCATCTTTCATTGTACATTTTGTAAACATTAATCAGTTTAAGCTCATAATTTATTGCATGGAGTAACCATTATAATATCAGAAAAAAGTAAACATGCATCAGATAGAAGTACTAGAATTGCATGCCAATAATCTTTTCAAAATGGCTTTTTTTTAAATTACTGTATGTCTTGTTTTTGTTCTGTATAATTAGTATCTAATATATAATGTAAGACATCTGAAATTATAATATACTTTACATTGATGATATCATTTGATAAATGAGTGATTAGTGATATTGATCTAAGTTTTTCTGTGTTATATACATTATATATTTTGAAATAAGTAAATGTAATAATTTCAGATGTTTTATTTTGTATTAAACTGCACATCCTATCTTCCTGTTTGCTATATTTCATACTACTTTTAATTAATATATTTAGATTTTTAATATATTTAAAAATATAAATTTTTCTGCTACTATTGGTATTCATGTATCATTTATGTACCATTCTGCCAATTGATATTTAAATTATGTTGACTATAGTATGTATCAAACTTTTTTATACAAGGATTTTAAATCCTATCTAGAAATGTAATATTTTACACTTACACATACACACATTAAAAGAACAATTTCTTTTATTTCCTCGTACACTAATTTTTGTTTTCGATATCATGTTTTATCATAGGTGTAAGATGCAGAAGCGTTTATATTAGCAGCTTTAAAATTTATGCTGCTAAATACTAATCTTTTAAAGTTCAGTTTTGTGTATATTTTGCAATTATATATATATATGAATATATGTATGTAATGATATTTACGGAAGAGACGGGATGTGTATGTTCCCCTTTTTGTTTATATAAAAAGCAAATATCTATATTATTATGCATACATTATGTATTGTTGTAAATGAAACCAATAGTACTAGAAAAAGAAAAAAACTTCTAAGCTATCAGTGTACAGACTTATATTTTGGAAATAATGACAGATAATCATTTACACCGCACTGTTAAGATATAATTACAAAGACAAGAGTATACAACAATTGCATAAATTAGTTATTAGCAGCAAAACTGTAATAGTCTTTTTATAACATTTGTATTATATATTAAGTACCAAAATTGAATTTCTATCTGTTTGGACATTAAAAGTGTACAATAACGTTTTTAATCTAGTTATAAAAGACATTACAGATTCATCAGTTTTAAGAAGTGCGATCTTTCTTTTTTTTTTTTTAAATACAATAATTGTTATAGATCAGAAATAATCTTGTAATGAAAGGAAGAGAGGAAGGACGGAGATTCTATAATTGCATTGTATGTTTGCAGTACCATAAGAATTTTAAAGATAATCTAAAAAAATATATGAAGTGACATGGCCTTTAGAATATTAAATAAGATGATTACTTTTTATCGCAGTTTAATCTTGTTTATGTACTTTTAGCTTGTACATAGAATGATATTACGATGCGTGAATGATGGATGCATTTTGTAATCAAATGCAGAAATATTTAGGTTTCTGCCATGTCATATGATATAACAATACAATATTTTGTAGAAATTTTCAAAATTAAATCTTCTTGTTATTAATTTGTAATTTTAAAATGTAATAATGACTATCAATTTAAGTGATATTTTTGAGAGTTGCAGACATTTTGTAAAAGAGAAATTATTAAAATATTACGGAAACATTATGCGCAATTTTAATTTTGTAAAAATATGATTTGAATTTAATTACAATATTTTTATACACGCGCCAATGTTTTTACTACAACAGTTTTTTATTAAATTGCTTCGCTATGTTAGGCCACTAAAAGTTAAGGATTGCAGCATTTCAATTGATTTATATATTTATATGAATTAAGTTACATTACCATATAAATACACGTTATTTCAATTCGATTAGTTTGTATGATTTAAACAATACATAATAAATAGTGTTATACAGTGTATAATTTCTACTTTTATTTTTCTACTTTTATTAATTATCAATACAATTTTGATGATAATTAGACGAATTGAACAAAAAACCGAATCAAATGAGTACTCATTTATTAATGCTTACGAATCATTTATTAATGTACAGCTTAAAAATTTTGCTAATTAGTGTTCTTATTAATATGTAACAAGGTGGCAAAGAGAAATAAAGTCTATGTTTTTACATAAATGCTGAGAATCTAGGGGATACACAATTGATCCCATTGATCTGTAGACAAGGATGCATGTTTGAGAAGCCCAAAAGCTACAATACATTCTTCTTACTATGTAACTGGGCTCGCACTTTAGAGCAAATTGTAGATGCAATATATTTATGAGTTGTTTCTTAGTTTCAAGCACTAAGAATTTTTTAAATGCCTTATTTAAAGAAATAAATCATATGTTTTAGAATAGAATCTTTATTTCATTTTGAATGCTTAAATTCTACTTTAATAATTCATATGTTAAGTGGCAGGTAAGCAATTATTGATGAGTATAGTATTTTCTTTTCTAAAGGCCACTAAAAATATGTGTATGTATAATTTTTAAAATATATTTTACAAAAATATGCATACATTGACAAAGCAATATGCTCTCGTTCGTACAGATTATGTAACAATAGAATTTGAATTTTTTTTTACTGTCATCATTCATAATTCAATAATTAATTCATGTTGTGTTTTTTCACTTTGGTCCAACATTAATTGTTGCAAAAGTTCAATGTTATGTTACTATTGTTAATGGATTAATTACTCTAAAAATTTATCATAGCACAGTATAATGATATAAATCGAAATCTATTCGATTTTTATAATGACAAAAAGATTTTATTACCCATATTATATACTTTAGTTTAAACCAAGAATATACCTACTCCAATGGATATAAATTACATAATATATGATGAGTGATGTTCGATATTCTGTTTGTATCATTGTTATACAAATCGAAGCTTTCGCTGATGGAAAAAGCGCATGAAATGTCTTCTTGTAAAGTAGATAAAGCGATTAGAATGAAAATTGTGCGTTTACTTTTTGTGATTAAAGATATATTTTTATAAAAATGCTATGTTTATTATGTTTAGAAACGAAACAGATGTAATGGAGTGCTATGAAAAAAACGAGATCGTTATAAATTAACTTAAGGATCCTTCATAGTTTATCATCTGTATTATGTCTATTATGTACTTGTCAGTGATGCTTGTACATTAAAAAAAAAATGATTGTAAATTTATAACACAGTCTGAAGATATAATTGTAGCTGTTGTGTATGTACAGAATTGATCTAATTTGAAATCAAAGTCTTAAATAAATGTTTTGCATCCTATATCTTTCATATTTTTTGAATAAATTCTTTTCTATCGCTATGAATAATTTTTTTCTATCGCTATGTTTATAGTAAATCTCCATTGTGTATCTCAAAAGAGAAAAACTTGATTTTTTTATAAAATGAAAATTAAATGTATTTTTAAATCAATTTTGTTTTTTTAATGTTTATCGCAATGTCTTTATATTATTTCTAATATTGGAAATATAGATTACTGCAAGGGTTCTGTATTACATATATTAAAGATAATGAAAGAAATAGTACATATACATATAATAATAATACATATTTAATATGAAGTTATATTTAGATATCAAACAATGTTTTATCTATAAATGCTATATATCTATAGATGCTATATCTATATATCTATATATCTATATATCTATAGATACTATATATGCTTATTAATTTAAGAGTTAATTTAAGAGTAATCTTGATTCTATTTTTAATTTAAATCATTATTTATATCTTGAATAATGTTGGTATTTTTCTCATCAAATGATAGTATTTTTCTGTATTATTATTGACTGTTTTTTTCTTTTTTTAATTTTCTGTTTTTTATTGTTTTTTTTTCTTATCTGATCATCTTTCTGTTTTGTTTCAATTCACGTTATTTTCACTTTAAGATCACTCTCTTTTTCACTATCTCCAGTATTCTGTCTACTTAATTTATTTCTTTAATTTTCTCTTAATGGATATGTTGAATTCTTTTACATCTTTCTCAAAAAATTTAAGCTTCTGAAACTTGCGAAGTTTAATCCAGGAAATATAAAATTTATCTATTGGTGTGCCATCCGTGTTTATTCTATTTTCTCAACTTGTAATATTTACCTTATTTTTCAGATCTATTATTTCTTTAATACGTGTTCTCGATGTATTTTTTATTTTCTTCGATTATAGCTAAAAGTTGTTTTATTTTTTTTTTGCAATAAGTTGCAATAAGTCACATGACATTTTTCCAAAAATCTTTTTAACTACAGAATGAAAAATACATCAATTTAACATTGATATATCTAATAATATATTCGAAAAATTATATTCTTCAATTTCATTAAAGTTTGTTTTTTTTTAAATACCTATATTATACAAGATACATAAAAATCCGGAAAATATATTTTATGACTCATATGCTGCATAGTCTAATAAAAGTTTTAATAATATTATCTTTAAAACTATTTTCTACTAATTGTGATTTCGATACTTTCAAAATACAAATAGAAAGTATAGATTCCATTGTAACTGCTTTATTCCTAATGTTAAAATTATAAGAATTTAAAAGAAAACAATTTGATTTAAGATTAATTATCCTACAATCATTATTATTAAGACTTAAAAATAATTGATATCTCGAGAAAAAATGGCAAAATAGATATGAATATTCCGGTTTTCTTAGAAATTATTATTAACATTTCCAAATAATGGAATCGCAATAGATAGTCTTGCACAATTGGATTGATTTTTCTTATTTCAAGAATGATCTGTTAAGAAATAATTTATTGCATTATCCTAAACTAGTATATTATATTATTTTTATTGATCAAAAATAATAACAAAATTCACTTAAACTAGCTAATACACAACTAATATATAACAATGATCGTAACATTGATTTATCTTTTGATTTGATTATTAATTCTATTCAAAAGTAATTTATATATTGCCAATTATATACAGTCTGAAAGTCGGAAAGTTTGCCTGGAAGAAAATAATTCCTTAAGAAAATAAAATTTTGAATGTTAATAATAAAGATTACATACAATAAGTATTTAATAATTAATAATTACCTTCTTTAATACTACATTTTTTAAGTTAGTCAATTGTTTGACGAGCAGAGAGACATAGCTGTACGAAGTACCATGATCAAGTAGATAAGTTTCGACCGAAGAGCATCTCATGAAATTTATTTTTAGTAATGTACTAAATAAAACAGATATCGCATTTTCAATATATTTTTCATACATGATCTAAAAGAAACTTTAATGATATAATTGTCTGCAAATATTTTCCTTTTTACTGTAATATGTGGATCTTATCTTTAACAATTTAAACACAGATCCTTTGTTAGTTGTAATATGTAAAATATTTAAAAATGCTACAATACAAATGTTTTATTTGCAGTTCACCATAATTCTAATATTTTTAATAATGATTTAGTTAAAAGTGAGAATGATTGAATATAAGGCAATATTTGGTGAAGATACTTCAAAAGTACTACGAGAATACTTGTGGATGATCTTACACTTCGTAATAGCTGTGAAACAAATGTGCGTATTGAGACAACATTGTTACCGAACAAATATATATACACGTATATAAAATATAAATAACAAATTATAGATATATACTTTAACTAAGTCTGACAGGTATAATTCCAAAATTTTTTGTTTTAAATGTTTTAGATTTATATGTTTGTTGCACTTCTGTATCCAATTTTAAAAAGCGTCCTAATGCATCAGGTAAATAGTGTGTTATACACGTAAGTATATTATAGTTGTTACATCATTAAATGCTAAACATAAATTTTGATAAAATTAAAACAAAATTATTTGAAAAATAATTAGTAGCTCAATAAAAATTTGGATATCTTTTTATTTTATATTGCGTTGTACTGGTGATACTGCAATATTATTCAAAGCTGGAAGATTTCTATAGTCTTTAATAGAAAATGTATGTATGATGTACAAATTAAGAATAATATATTTTTACAATTATTACTTTCCAATTATTACTTTAATGATTTAATGAATAAATAATGAATAGGAGAGAACTTACTCATCTATTTGTATTTTTTGTTGCCATGTTTTCAGTAATTGCATAGTGCTCTTTTTATAGTTTATATTTCCATTATTTTTTTGTTTAAAATCACTATTATCACTAGCAATCTACATATTAAATAATATTATTAAAAATATAATATATAAAATTATACTTATAAAGTACTCTAAATTTACATTAGAAATTCATTTTCCACATTGTTTATCAATAAATTATTATCATCTTCTGATATATTAAAATTTAAAAGATTTTTATCATTTTCTTTCAGATGTTTATAAAATTCAAGATTATTATCTTTTAATTGCATCAATTTTTCGTTTTCTACAGAACATAAGATGCTCTTGTTATTGTTATTGCTGTTAATTTGCTTATTCTCATCATCTGTATAAAACAAAAATTATAACAAAAATTGAAATATACAAAATAAAATCTAAGATCTAAAATATAAAATCTAAAATATAAAATCTAAAATGTGAAAATCCAAATGTTTTAAATTATATTTGTATTTTCATTTTTTTCTTCATAATTGTCATTACCAAAATCACTTTCTGTTGATGAAATCTTGTTGAAACCCTCAATGTTACTTTGTTCAAATCTTCTTTTTTTCTTCTTAGTAATCGCTAATTTCTTTTTTCCTAATTTGATAGACTCTTGGTTCACTTTCCTTATTATTTTCCTTTTCATTTTTATGATATATATATATATATGAATATGAATTCTTTCGCTTATATGACAAATTCAAGTAATCTAAAATAAAATATAAATGTAACACATGTGAATTAAGATATGAATATAAGCTTTTCATTTCCTATACAATATCTTTAAATAGGATTTAAAACTTACGTTTAAAATTAAAAAATTTAATTCTAAATTCTTAATTCTAAACTTTAATTCTTTTATTCATAATATGTAAATTACTTATACATATATAAACAGTATATATTTATACATACATATACACTTATACATATATAAAAGTATAAATTTATTTTACAATTTTTTCTAAATATCGCAAAATCTTAACAATTACACACAGAGTTGAATCTTTTCCAATACAAGATTCTCTGATTATTTCTAATGGTACTAGTAATGGTATACGTATCAGAAGCGTGAATTCTGATGATAGTAACTGCAAAATGATTGGAGACAACGTAATCTTCCATTAATGTATAAATGCATTTCAAGTACTGGAAATAAAAATCTTAATATACATCTGGAGTGAATTAATAAAGTTTAAAAACCGCTACGCGGCAATAACAATTACGAGTACTGTTAAAGTTGACACATCTGATACACACATTTACCGGTATTGTTAGAATAGATATTTTTGATGACGAACAAAAATAAACAAAACATATTGAGAGATCGATCTTCGAGCATCAACAACTTAACATTAACTTTCATTTTACATTATATTATAATTGAATATAATTAGTTATATTGGAATAACGCCGTTAAGAAATTATTTTTTTATATAATATATTCTATTATATAATATATTCTATTCTATTATATAATTATACAATAATATACTCTATTTATCTATATTTTTAAAAATATATTTTATTTATCTAATATAAGTCGTTGTATGTACTTGGCTCTTCCTTTTGCAAATTTTTATTGGCACACTGAACTTATTATAATATTCTTTATAACGTTACATAATTATTTTATACAGATTACTGCATTCTGAGATCACTATTGAAAACGACTAAATCTTTTAGATTGACACATTGTATATAATATTCGAGCAATTTGCTCGTTTGAATCCTATTTGAATAAATATATTTCTGAGAATTCAATGATTATGTAGCATATAAACATAAGTAAGCCTTAAAACTGTAATAACAACTGTAATAATAATTGGAAACCCACAATACCAATCTCTCTTTTATAAGGTTTTAAAATTTATTTCATTTTATTAACATATGACTCATCAAGATTAATGCTTATACTTTTTTTTATTAATGCAATTCCTGCTAATAACATTTGCTAATAAGTACTTGGAGTAATATGATGTTGATAATAAACAATCTGCAATATACTTTGTTAGTGACTACAATAATGAAATTCATCGTTGTATGTTAGAAAAAAATATGACGCATGCACAGGAATTCTTAATTTTCAAAATAGATATAAGAAAGAAAATTTCATGAATATTCTTCGTATATATCAGATAATTTCTTGTCTTGCTTTCTATTCTAGTTTTAATTTTATATACTCTAATAATACATATTTCATTTTAATAATACATATTATTTTAAAGATCTTATAAATATAAATATAATGGTTAAATATAAATTAATTAAATTAAATATTAAATATAAATATGATGATTATAAATATGACGGCTGAAGACAGCATAGAAAAAAAAATATGGTAAAAAAATATGTAATGATAAGATCCATAATGTTAAGGTCGTTATAATGATCGGATTTATTTTATGTTTTTGAGTATCGCTTTACTCGTAATTCTATTCGTAATACTTTTGGAAAATGTATAAGATATATGACAAATATTATTGATTTAATTAAAATTTTACCTTTGCAAACAATTGAATAAATTATATTTACAACAAAGATGAAAGATCATACTTCGAATTTACATTTTCATAAACTTTCGTGGTCTCACTGTGTAGTGCATCTAATAATTACGTGCGTTAATTTACTTAGATTGTTAGTATTTCATTTATGCTATTGAAATGTAATTATTACATTCATAAGGATCAAATTATTTTAATGAAGATTTGTGTTTTCATTAATATTATTCATACTATTGCTTTTGAATTGAATGAAGATGTAGCGATATCTTAATATCGTCCTTAATTAATTCAACATTATTTAATTACGATTTCCGAGATAATCAAGACATGATAAAAATTAAATGGCACATTTAGTATATTATACAGCTGTGTAAATATTTTGATATGTATATAAATTATGTCTCAAACGCATTTGCCATTATTGTGTTTTTCAAAGTTGTCAGGCACGGTGTGAAAATAAACAGCTAAGCAATGAAACAATTGGCGTGTATTCTGATCGCATTAGCGATTGTAGGTAAGTTAAATATTAGATAAATTGTCACACAAGATTAATCATAATAAATATTTTATAATTAGTATTAAATTATTAGTTATATTAATATTATTAAATATTAAATTATTATAGATTAAATTTATATACAAAAGTATAATGTAACATGTTTTGAATTTTATGCACATGTAAATATTGTATATGTATTTAAATTCCATAATTTGTAATACGCGATTGTGATATTTAATTTTATCAATTACATTCCTATTATTATATTGATATTATAAAATTAGAAACAAATTTTGTCTCTATAAGATTCTGTCTTACGTCACAAAAAAAATACAAAATCAAATAAGTTTTAAAGAATAAAGTTAGCTAAAATTTTTTGTAAGCTATGTGAGCTATGTGTGCTTGTAATTATACAAGTAATTCTGATTGATAATGATCAGTAACAACACCTTGATATAACCTACAATTTTATATTCAAGATTTATTGTGTCATCAAAATACTTGTGAAAAAATTTAAGTGTGATACAAATAACACATTGTACGGAAACGGTTTCTGTCATACATTCATGACAACATGAATGCACTTTATAGGTGTCTACGGAGAGGATCCAGAGAAATTAGTAGGTGGGACATCCACCAAAATAGAGGATCATCCGCATTGTGTTTCCATACAAATAAAAGGCCAACACTTTTGCGGTGGTAGCCTAATCAGTAAAAAACATGTCCTAACTGCCGCGCATTGCATAGAAAGTCTGAACTCTAATCCCTTTTTAAAACTATTTTTGACCGTTGTTACTGGTACAACCTACTACAATTCAGGTGGAGAACATCATAAAGTGATAAAATATAAGTATCATCCTAAATATACCAAGGATGTAACAATCAAGGGTGGTTATGACATTGGTATGCTTGAGGTACAATTTTAAAGTTGAACATATGTTACACTATTATATTTACATATGGCAAATTTGTAATATATAAATATAACACATTAATTATATTTTTGCTATATTAACAATGCAGTAATCATACAAAATCATTAAATAATTCGTACTCTAATCACAATTATATTACAATCTGATTCATTATTATAAAATATTTTTAGTTGGCTGAAGAAATCCAGATCAACGAAAAGCAAAGGCCAGTTAAGTTGCCAACAAAGGATTTGTCGAAGGGTGACGAAGTTGAAATAGTAGCTTGGGGATCTCAAGGTTACAGAAAAAACGTACATAAGGATTTGCGGAAAGTGGGCGCTCGTGTCATACTTTCGGACGAGTGTCAAACTTATCAGGGAGATACTACGACTATTACCTCGAACGAATTCTGCACCCTCGTCGAAAAAGGAATTGGAGCTTGCAATGTATGTAATCGATCCTATCATAGTATTAAAATAATTTCATTGTTGCACATTTTCATAGATTTGACGTTCTCTATTTTATATGTGTATATATGTGTTTTTGATGCATTTTAAAAACTATTTTTATTTTTTTAATTATACTTATTCAGTTACA